TAATTGCATAAATCTGTATTAATTGCTGTGCAAAATAGTGCTCTGGAAAATCTGCCAAATGCCTTTTAATTCTTTTGCAGTTGAAGCCAACTTTTGTGAACGGATGATGGGAAAAAGCAGTCCTCAAAGCAGTGTGCTGTGGGTTGCAGGCGGCACAATTAACAAACCATTCTTGAAAGAAGTGAATCGTGGAGATAGATGGGTTACATAAAATCAAACAGCCCACCTCTTGTATTTAACGCAAGATTGCTTTCCAGATTATATTTCCCAATCTTGCATCATTTTGTGGACTTCTGAGCAGGGGTTTAACTCCCTTTGGCACCTCATAAGCAAGGCATGAAGACTATGGGTGTTTGTCTCCATTATCCAGTGAAGAAATACATTGCCTGGGTTCATACAGCACCATAATGCAGCCTCAAGGGTTGAGCGTGGGCTGTTGTTGAATGAGTTAGTGTGCTGTCTGGAGCCAGCTGTGCTAACCACAAACAACCCAACAAACCATGAATGGAACTCATATTTTGTTGTTGGGTTGTAAACTGTGGGTTTGTTATGTTAACTGGGTTCAGACAGCACAATAACTCACAGTTCAATGACAACCTTCACTCCACCCACACACAATCCTTGAATGTGGGTTAGTGTGCTGTCTGAAACCAGCCACTGTCTTAGCACATGAGACCTTAATCGCGGTGTCATAATAGGACTGTTCTTTTTTAAAAGCTCCCTGGGAGAGAATTCTATAATATTAATTATACAATCATGTTATTGTGTGGTGAGCTTCTTTCTTTCGTAAGTTCTAAACAGACTGCTAATTAAAGTCAACAAGTCGGCCCAAGCTGCAATATCAGGAAGAACAAATATTTTCCTTCTCCAAGCATTAAACACTGAATTCACCATCTGATTGTACCTTCCCTGCCCCCATCACATACATGTTCATTGTAATATTTAGTTCAGTTCTCCTTCTATTTATCTCCACCTTGGGAACTTCAACTTAATGTACCAAGTCTGGCCCAAAGGTCCATGTTTCCTCTGTGCATCGCCTGGTGAAGCAAAACACAATTTCATCCGAAGGCCACCCATGTCTTAGGGCACAAGGGGAGAAGGATGCCTTGCACAGTGGGAGCACCTGCCTCCTCTTCTTTTCACCACTCAGCCCCATCTTTCAGAGCACCACTGGGGCAACCACAACCATTTTCTGGCTGCAGCAGAGGGCAGGATGTGGGGAGTGAGCTGCAAGGCTGAAGTGCCTTTCCAGTCTTGTGGCTGCACGTCCAAAGAATTTTATGTCCAACTAGACCTTGCCAAAAGGATGAAGGCATTTTAAAAGCAAGTGCTTGCACAAGAGATACCTGCTTCTATGGCATTGCAACTTACACATACAGGATATACTTTAGCTAGTGGAGGACAACCTCCATCTCAAAAGGTTTTGTGATCTATTGGCTTACGTCACTTGGATCTTGCAAAGGGGCAAGGTTTAGAAATTAAGAGCACTGTTTTATAGCTCTGAATCTAGCTTTCAGGGATAGAAGTCAGAATAGTTATCTTAAAATTTCTAGCCGTCAAGTGATCTCCCAAGCAAACATGCAAATGACTGCAATTAGGAAATTCGGACAGATCTGTCTCCCATGGGTCACTTTAGAAGGAACATAAGGAAGGTTGACTGACACATCAAGCAGACTGAACAATGCAACTGAATGAGGAGCCCAGAAACACCCAAGAAAGGACCCACCACCATGGAACGTAGGAATACAGGACGCTGCCTTATTCTGGACAGATCTGTCAAACCCAGTACTGGGGGGACTGACCAGCAGTAGCTCTCCAGGAATTTGGAGAAGACTCTTATCTGGGGATACCAGGGATCAAACCTGAGGACACGTGCAAAACAGGTGTTCCACCAGTAGGCTAAAGGTCCTTCATGGTGCTTGCAGTAGCAGATGAGGAGCTATTGCTCCAGCCTGTTTGCACCTGCAAAAAGACTATTATGCATAGAAGCTCTCTTCTTATGCAGCTATGGATTGGGGTATATGGGATGGACACCAGCAGTCTATTCTCATAAGTGTTCCTTCCTTGGACACTAGGTGGCAGACAGAGCCCTAAACTTAAGAGTGAATTGCTAATGCTTCCAAATATAGGTGAATTTTTGTCTATCCAAGTATTTTGGCAAAGAGAGAAAGAAAAGAGTCTTTCTTCTGAAACTGTAGCAGTTTTGGTAAAATCTGAACATAATGAATGCATCATTGTATGAATCATGCTCTACTGAGATAGACAAAACTGGTGGCAAGGCATACGAATAGGTTACATTCCCTCGGTTTTCTTCCTAACTTTTGGATCGGGCTGGGCTGGTTCTGGCTGATCCAGCACAAGAAAGGCAGCAATGTTGCCCTGAAGCAGATGGGTGGAGAGGCAAGGCAGCGGGCCTTCTAAGCAGCATCCGCATTTGCTTCCTAGCAAGGAGCCGTGTTACTTCTGCGCACCTTGACCAAGTTTCCCCACAAGCGGGGAAGTACTTAGGAATGCCTTATATGGTCAAACAAAAATCCTTCTTTGGTCAACATGGATTGCCAGCTACGACTCTCCAGGAGTTTTTCCAGCCCTGTTCCGGGTGTGTTAGCTTGCATGTTATAATCTTGCAATGCTCAACCAAAACACTTTGTAACAGGGAACTCTGTCCTTTATGTCAAGGAGTTTTGATGCTGTGCTTTGACTGCACATATGTAAAAATAATTCACATTCACAAGGTAGTCAGATGACATTGTGTCTGGTTTCCTTTCACTTTCCAGGCACAGTTCAAAGTGATGGTTTTCACCTTGAAAGTCTTATATGTCATGGCCAGTGCTTTTTTTGTAAGAAAAAGGGTGCCAGAACTTATGAAATTATTTACTTTTCGCACGTAGTCAATCACTGTACACACACCCACACACTTCAGTTGTGTAACGAAACAGAACGGTCGCCGCCCACAGTAAGCACTCAGCGCGCGACCACATGACCAAGCACAAGCCGAGCAGCACCACAAGCCAAGCAGGGCCATCACAACCAGTGTGAAGTACGCATGCATCGGATTCAACACACAAGCAGCCCGCATGCACCGTTTTAATGATTTTGCCGCCGACCTGCTACGCTCGACAGGGCGATTCAAATTCACATGGACCAAACATCAAATTTTCAAAAGTTACTTTTAAAACTTGGAAAATCTGTCGAAAAAAGGTGCTGGAACTCCTTTCCGGTGTGTTCTATGACAAAAAAAGCACTGCTCATGGCTGCAGGGTTTCTACCTGCTCCCACATCCATCTGCCTGCCAGTTTGGCACATAATCAGAGGCTCTCCATTGGATGACTCTGCAATTAGAGGTCTGCCAAGTGGCAATCAGGCAAAGGGCCTTCTTCGTGGTGGCTCCCTGATTCTGAAATGCCCTCTGCGAGGCTGCTTGCCTGGAATGCTATTACCAAATGGACTAAACTGCTAAGGGTACCACGTACCACTGCCTACAAAGGAAGGCTCCTTTTTTGCCCCCCCCCCCCCAAAAGAAAAGGAAGTAGCAAAATGCTGTCATTGCAAGCAAAAACGTTCATTGATGAGGGCAATCAGTGGTTCAATCGGTTGGAAGCACTCCTGTTTAGGAGACATTGCCTTCACTCTCAATTGACTTCTTTACCCTGCATGATGCTATCACATAACCAGATTTTACTGTGGTACCATAATCCCCGAGTGATCCCTGGTTGGCTGGGGTCACCTGAAGGAGACAAAGCCCCACTGGGAAAAATGACACCAAGGCAGGAAAGAGGGGAGAAACACACAGCAGGTGTGCAAGGAGACAGTTAAGGGAGATTCAGGAAATATTCTCACCGCCCCCCCCCCCCCCGGCCCTCAAAATGACACTTTGGAAAAATGAAACAGGTGAATGTTTGGTGTATCCCAGTACTGGGTATAAAGCTATCAGCTTTTGTGTGGCAAGATGAAGCTAAAAAGTCCTTTAAAGCCGGGCGTGCTTTGATTCCTTGGTGCAGTGGAGTGTGAGCAGGCCTGTTCCACCGTGTTTCCAGGAAGAGGTACATGATGCTTAAGCAGAGGTCCAGCCAAGGGTGACCCTCATCTTCAGGCAACATGCCTCCTGGGAACTCCTGGTTCCCCACTGTCGCCCCTCTGCTTGGGCCATCACTGGCTCAGCAGCAGCAAGAAAGCTCTCCTCCTCTTTCTGGCTGGACCAGTGAGTACCGCAAAGGAAATGGAAAGTTGGGCGAGGTTGCAGCCTTGCACCGTTTGTACATAGAAACACAAACTGAGTGAGCCAGAAGGGGCCTCCCGGGCCATCTAGTCTGACCCCTGGCTCCAGCTGGCTCTGCTCGTGCCGTGCCTACCATGTGCATGTCCAGCCTAGTTACCCACAGTATTTCCTCAGGCATGAGAATGGCTGTGAAAGAGATGCTTTCTTTGGAATCCCATGGCCAATGATCCTTTGGGGTGGTGATGGGACAGGGCAGCTGCCGTTCTGCTGTCCTATGGGCCATGGGGCAGTTTCTGACTGTTTCAGCTCAGGGCCACTCTGACATGTGGGGAAATACTTTGCTTTAAAGTGGCACACAGTTGCCGTCCAATGGGCTGGCTCAGTACTTCCATTTTAGTAGATGATGGCTTGCCACAGTGGGCCATCCATGCACGTGGGCCCCCTCGTGTCTAGGGGCCCACGACCTGTGCCCCATGGTTCTGCTTTAGTGCTGCTACTGATCCCAGATAACTAACTGCCTCTGATTCTGTGCAGCCCATGTGGGTCCTTGCAGAATGAACGGGTTAGATTTATTTCTAAACAAAGAAGCAGGCTGCACAGATTGCCTGCCACCTCCTCGCACTCGCTTGTGTGACTGCCGGGAAGTGCTCTGCACTTTTTATTTCAGCAAAGCAAGCACCTTATGAACACACACAGAGAGCACCCCTCAGAGCGACTCCTCCTTAATGGAAAATGATCTCAAGGGGTTAATCTCTCAGACACACTTGTTGACTTCTCTCACCATAAGATGCTGAAAAAGCCAGGAGCGCATGATATTCGTAGCGTGTTTCGGCAGGACTCCCCGTTTGTTCTTCGACTTTTTATCTTCGCTGTCAAGAAGAGAGGTCAGGTCCAGGTTAACCTACAGGGCAGGGTAGAGAGAAAGGAAAGCTTAAACAACAATGCAGGTAAAAAGGGAAAAAGAGGAGCCTGGGTTGCCATGGTGACATGGTTCCCAACGCTGGTCCGATTTCATGGTGGCTCCATGCGACGAGATAGTGTTGTGCTATCCAAGCAGGCAAGAGCAAAAACTAACTTAAGAGGCTCTCCGTTGCTTGCTTAGAAATTACAAGAAATTATAAAAGAAGAGCATTGCCAGTCTGTCTGTCTCCGTCTGAATCAAAACGAAAATGGTCTCCCTGTTAAAGAATACACAATAGCTTGCCCTATATTTTCATCTGCAGAGTCTTGCCGGATATGGGCTCACATCCACGAACTGCATGAGCACAATTGTTGGCATCTGGTGCACACTTAAAGGGGTGAGGACACATGATATAGGAGGGTAAAGTGGAGCTCAGTTCAGGCCAAGCTGGGCAAAGCTCAGCCTTCCCAATCTACTTTTGTGTGCCAGGGCTTGGACCTGGAAGACGGAAGTGATCATGAAAGTATTTAGACAGTGCCTGTTGCCGAACAACGAGGATTTGGTAGATGCCTATGACTGGAGCTCAAAATGAAAACTTCCCTATGCAAAAAGCCTGCTCCATTTTGACTTTGATAGACATTGTTTCACGTGGGCATGATATGAAATGAGCTTTGCACCCTGCAATTACCCAGATTTCCCTTGAGGGATGCGCTCCTCCTTCATTATTGCACCTGCTTATTCACTTGCTGCCCTCCCTGGTCCAGACCGCCGAGGTGGAGGCATGGAGGAGCAGCTGGTGTCCCTGTTTCTTTGCTCACTGGCTCTCTGCCCGTCCAGCTAGCAAGTGGCAGCGATGATGGGGAGGAGGACGAGGCACGAGTGCGGCAGGAGGCAGTGGCGGCCGGAAGGTAGACTCACTGAGGGGCGTTGTCCAACCAAAGGGCCCTCCAACACAAAACACGGGCTGCATCCAGACACCTTTCCCACACCCCCTCCTTATCTCTCCATGGAGGAAAAGGCAGAGGGCATGAACTCACTGGGATGTTTGTTTCCGTACAGAAGTCCCACAAGACCTCTGTGAATGGTGGCAGAGCGTCATCTTTCGCCAAGGATCAAGGATTGCAGAAAAAATGGTAACCTGACAAGACCCTGTGATACGCGGCAGGCAATGAAGCTCCTTGTGTCATTTGCAATCAAGTGTAGGCTTGGTAGTCTCTCTCCTGTGTGGAGGGACCTTGTTACCATCTGCTCCTTCTTCCAAATAACTTTTCATGAGTGGAAGACAGGGGTGGTGGGGTAGGGTGTCCATGCACCCTCTTTGGAAGTGGAGTTCTCTCTCTGAAGAGCTGCTGGGGACTGTCCTCTATTTGAACGTGTTCTCTATTCAAAGAGCTGCCCAGTTCAGATCCAGTAGAAAGATAAGGAAGAGCAAGAAGGAAGAAGGAAGAGCAAAAGTTTCTTGGAACTGTCCATCTGCAACACCTGGACAATTGATGGAGTGAGGTGCATGGCCAGTGTATTTTTATTTAAATTCTACTTCTAAATTTTCATCCACACGTATGCACTGGAATATGTAAGTGTCGTGCAAAATGGTATGTGTTTTGTCCTCTTTTTGATTAAGTTCTTGAGCTTTCTCAAGCATTTGGAAGAACAAACTGAAAAGCCAAGTTTGCTTTTTGGCCTGAGAAGGAAGGGCTTTCTATGGCAGTTTTCATAACCATGGCCCATTGCAACAGCTGTGGAACTAAAACAGCTGCAGATCAGTGGATGAGGAGTAGTGGATTCTTGAGGACTAGCAGCTCTCCTTCTGGAAATTAATCACTGCAGCAGTCATTCAGTGTCCAACTCATTCTTCCTTGTCTCCACCCCAATCTTTTGCTCACTTAATGGGGATTCATGCCTTATGTTGAAACTGTAAGATATGATGAAGAGCAACATATTTGGAAGCCTAGAGCCCCACCAAGTTTTGATTTTGGGATTTTGATGCAGCTCCTTATCTATAGAATTAAATGGTATTTAGGTTGTCTTTAAGGGTCAGATCCTTTCCTCATTAAGTGTACTCTCAAAAGCAAAACCAGCTTGTACTTCGGGAGATGATTTCTATTTCATCGAATCCTTGGACCAAGGAATGGACAAAGTGATCTGATTCTGGTCCGTGAGACTTCTGTGTGTCTGTGTGCATAATTCTTCTCCCTTCTGTTGCTCAATTGATCTGCATGTTAAATGTATTTAAGCATTTCCACCAATTCTTGAGACAAGAATTGCATCACTCAGTTTGGGAAATATAAAATTAGTCCAGGAAGAATGGATCCATTTCAGTTTCTTTTAAATTTCCGAATTCCTCAAAAAACCACAGGGAATAAATGCATGTTGCCAGGACATTATCATGGGGGTCACAGCATCCTTTGGATTCCTCGCTCCAAGGCTGGAGATGGAGTTCTAACAACAGAGGCAGGTTTTGTGAGCTCCCTCCCTCACTTGCAGCTGGCATGCAAGCTGCCACTCTGAGGTTGGGACCTCCGCCTCAAGAGAGGGGTCACGTGGACAGGGGGAGGCTGGGAAAGGGGGCAGACTGCTGAACCAGGATGCTAGCTACCTCGTGCCTCTGCACCCTCTTCCCCCACTCTGAAGTGCAGTGCAAAAAAACTGGCTTGAGACCTGGTTATCTAAAGGAGCACCTGCGTCCAGATCTGCCCTCCCACCCCCTGAGACCGGCAGCAGAAGCCCTTCTCCGGGAGCCCACTGTGAAAGATATTAGGTGGGTGAGCACTCGGAGGAGGGCCTTCTCTGCTGTGGCGCTCCACTTATGGAATGCGCTCCCCAGAGAGGTCTGCCTGGCGCCGTCGTTATTTATTTTCCAGCGCCAGGCCAAGACCTTTTTATTTAAATGTTATTTTAATTGTTAATTTATTTATTGTTTTTATGTTTATGCTGGGATGTCTCCTGATTTTTAGTGTATTTGTATAGTTATTTATTTGTATTGGAAGCTGCCCCGAGGCTTTTGCGAATGGGGTGGCAAATAAGTATTCCAAACAAACAAACAAACAAACAAACGGTGTGGGGAGGCAGAAAGCACCTCTGATGCTCCTCCCCTCTGCACGAGATGCTCAGAAGCCCTACTATATCATAGCAGTCTTCTGCATGCCCGAAAAAATGCACCCCACAGAGTTTGGAAGAGCCCTAATTGCCCTGGCTAGAGGCAGCTTCCTTCATTCGGCAAGTTATTCCAACATTTCAGTTCTGGGAGAAAGAACAAGCAGCTTGACAATCACGGCCCAGCTATTGTCAAGGCAGCAGTGCCGCTGAGGGGCAGGTGCTCCTCTGTATACACACAGTCCACTCAGTGGGTGCACACGTGCTGAGGATGGGAAAATGTTCCTTCCTCGATCGCATTCAGGCTTGTGCTAGGCTCGTACCAGCCCACTTGCACCCAAGATTTCTTCTCCCATGCACAGAAACCTCTGCCTCTCTTTGCACCGATCTATCAAAATGGACGCATACTTTGCATGTTTCCAAATATATGCATTTTTGCACATATGCATGAATTGATGAAAGTGTACATATTTTCAAGGGAGATGCATTTTGCCTTGCATGTTTTTCAAATGTGCACATGTTACTGAATATATTCTTGCTTTGCTTTACAAATGCAACATCAACTCAGAAGCATACAGATTTCTGATTTCAAGATGCACTGTATCCTCACTCAGTTTGGGGAGGTACAAACTGGGTAATCTCACAGAATGTGAACCAGACAGATTTTCACTCATCCCTAATTGTGCATCCATAAACTTCTGCAAATGAGCTCAAGGCAATTGCCAGTTGTGCAAAGCAGTCTTTAGACCTTTTGTTATTGGCAAAAGTTACCTCTAAGTAAAAGACTTAAATACTTTTCTTTCTAGCAATCGCTTCTAAAATGTGCAATTCTCCATAGGATTCTTCCCAGGACAGCAGAGAAACCTCTCTCTTTCCTTTTTATTATAAAGTAGCTGATAAAAAGAAAAGAAGATGCAAAGATCTTGGGAAACAGTAAGAGAGAAGTTTTAATGAGGTTGCAGGAAACTGGAATTTCAACATCAAGTTTAAACACACACACACACACACACTTTTTTTTTAGGTCCTTCATAAAAACATTTCTCCTGCATGAATTAAACATCAGGATGGCAGCCCTGTGTCAGGTATAAATGATTCCCCCAGGTGCCGCTTGGGATGTATTGCAAGGCCTGGGCTGAATAAATTACCCAGGCAATACAGAAATAACATTAGGAGTGCTTGTCCAGGGCTTCATGAGTGCCACAATATTCCCAGCATACTTGTATTCAACAGATCTGATCAATTTCACTCTAAGATCTGAGCTAGCAGCAGCTTTTACACATTAAAAAGAATTGAGATTCAGGGTTTGTTTTTGCTTCCTCATTCCTGCTTAGACAGCTGAGAGAAAGACAAGGAATGGAGGATATGACAGTTCTCTCAATTCCTTTTTCAAGAGTTTTATTAAGCTTCCTAAATAATAATGAAGAAGAAGAAGAAGAAGAAGAAGAAGAAGAAGAAGAAGAAGAAGAAAGCACCACCACCACCACCACCACCACCACCACTGCCCTGATCCAGGGAGGAGGTCAGGGAGATTTTGAAAGAGCTCAGAGACTAATCGGGCGTAATCATGTTTCCACTCATGCTGACTCAGTAGGAACTGTCAGTACATCAATGCATACCTTTTCCTTTTGGGTAGATCTTAGCTTGTGTAGCAAAAAGACTAAGATGATTTGCTTCTCATTAATACAAATCAGGGCAGGGGAGAATAACTGGGACACAGTCCAAGAAGTAGGTAGGGGTTTCTGCATTCAAAATTCAGATGGGGAAAACTAACGGGGAAGAATATTTCCCACTACTGTAAGATCTCCATTATTCATACCTCTTGTTCACTGAATCTTTCGATTATCAGAATGATATAAATGTCTCCCAGGCTGGAGACAGGTGGCAGTTTGTTTTTGGAAAAGTTGTTGAAGGCAGCATGATAAAGGCAGAGCTGCCATTGGTTTGCACACTCTTCTCACCACCACCCGTGGGTGGAGCGAAACAAAGCCCCCTCTGCAATGGGCAGCTCTTCCCCCTGAGACCCCGTGCTATTATGGGGTCCATCCTATTCCAGTGGCTGCCACGATGGGGAATCACACCTCGTTCAGGTGAAATGCTGAACTTTAGTGCGATGCTTTCAGAAACGCTCCCAAGGCTCCCTCACACTCACACGCTCCTTGTTATTGAACGAGTCTCTGCTTTGCTTCAATTTGCACCCCACCTTTCTATCAAGAGATGGAACCCAAGGCAGCTTGCATGCAGCTGTTCCTGCTTTCCTCTTCTGGTTTGTCCGCAAATTTAATAATCTGTGTGTTCCACTAAGGTCAATCACAGAGCAGTCCTATAGTCCCTGAGCACAGGGCCTGCAGATCGTAGGGCAGGGCAGATGGCCTCTTCCGGGGCTGCAAACGCTGTGATGTTCTTGGGTGCGGGGATCCCGTGTTGGGCCATCCCAGCTTCTTACGGCCACCACAGAAAGCGCTGCAGTGGCTTCTTTGCAAGACAGCGTCAGCAATGCCGGAAGTGCTTGCAGAGAGAAAAAAGGGTCTAGATGGTAGACCAGGTGAGGAGAGGTGGGGTCCTTTAGCTTGGCACTGCTGTCCTCTCTCACTGCCGGTAAGTCAGCTCTGAGATTGCTTTTCCTAAACGGAGCAAGGGGAGGTAACACTGATTTCATTATTCCTCCTGCCCTGCCTGGCTCTTAATTTCTGTGATTCAACTAATCTAAGCTGAATCCCCACCCCAATCCCCTCAGGAACCTGGGTAGCCAGAGGGCAAGCCCTCTCCGAGAAGAGCCCAGGGATGCCCCACGGTGTCCTAAGTATTATAAAGACAGGCAAATGTTGCTTCTTTCTCTTTGCTGACAGAACTTACAAACTGTTTTTGACACCATGTTGTCATGTTCTTTATCAGTTCACTGTGTTAGCAGCCAAGGAAGGAAATTTCTACCATGGTTTCACTGTTAAATTTGTTCCTTAAGTTCTTTAAGATTTATCAAATGCCATTTTAATTGCTAATATTATTTGCTTATTTTATTCTTTGGCCAGGGTGACTTATTTTATATGGTTAATTTGTTTTATATTTTATAAATATATTATATTTTAATTGATGTTTTGTGAGCCGCCCCGAGGCTTCGGCAAATGGGGCGGCGTAGAAATTTTCTAAATAAATAAATAAATAAATAAATAAATCTTTAGGCAAGTATTTTGTTTGAGGTTTTTAAGTATTTGCATATAAATAATTAAGCCTTGCTGCATTACAATAATTTATGTCTGCTCAGTGATATGGAAACTCTCACCCAGAAAAAAAAGCAGAAGCAAGAAATGCGTATCTCATTGTTATTTGATATTAAGGCTCTTGTATAAAACAATGTTTTACTTAAATAATAATGATAAGGAATACAAGAAAATACGGATTTATCTTCCCTGCTTTTCATTACGTATTTGAAGTGCCTCCTTCAGACCGCCACTGCCTGGCACATGCTCCCTTGTCTCCAAAGGTTCAAATCGGCCGTGCTGCTTCCCAGGCTAGTGCACAGAGTGCTAATGGGCGCCTGCTTCCAATGCCTTCTGTCTGCACAGGGGTGCTTTTGGCTCCAGTCAGGCCAGGGAAAGACGAGGTGCAGCGCTCCTCACAGGCGCAAGCGTTCCCTCAGGATTCTCTCCTACCTCCTCCCACATCCCAGGTACCTGCAATTAGCCAAGAACGTCTGCAGCTATTTATCCATTGAATGTTCGCTTCGGCCCTTGGTTCCCTGGACAAGGGACGTTTTTCTTACTGAAAAATAGCTTGCTCGGAGGAGGCAGATTTAACTGTGTATGTGGCAATAGGCTGGGGTGGGGGCGCTTCCCGAGGTTCTTAGAGGATGAGGCAGAGGACAGGAATCCCCGTGGGAATCCCAGAGAAGCAGCAGTGCCTCACCATGACACCGTGTCCTTTCGCCAGAAGAGAAGGCATGCACACGAAGAATCTGGAGTGCTTTCTTCCGCAAGAAATACCTCCAGGTGGGAGACTAGATTACCACCCAGTATTCTTCGTACATTTTTCCAGGGTGCGGATCCTTGGGCATCCTGCATCCCAAAGTAGCCCCTTCTCCATCAACCTTTGCCAACCTGTTGATGTTTGGGATTACAGCTCCCAGCATCCCTGCCATGCTGCCTGGACCTGCTGAGGGTTGAAGTCCAACTATCCAAGGATGACTGTGATCCTTAAACAGTGATCCCCCTTGGCTTGGTACCAGTCAAATAATACCTCTTTAGTTCCAGAGTTTTGTTTTTAAATGTGCAATGGTGTTTTCAGCTGCCACCGCCTTTTCCTTTGGTTTTATTCTCTTTTAATCTTTTGGTTGGAGGCCTGCATGGTTTACTTAGAGGCTTAGGATCCTCCTGTGCAGAGTTGGAGACATGCCGAGGTGAACTCTCTGTCCTGCTCCTTACACTCTGCAGTTCAGATCATTTCATCTGCCTTGCTGCAGCGCTTCGGAGGGGAGGGGAAGGAGGCCGGTGGCCCCAGTCTTCTCCCCTCTGGGCCCCCTCCCCTCCCACTTTACCCCTTGTGGTGGGGGAGGGGTATCGAAGTGCAGGGCCCAGCACCAAGTTCTGCTTCCAGCTTCAGATCCTGGAATGAGATGTGACCTGCGGCCCCCCAGATGATGTCTGGGGATCCCTGGATCACTGCCCCTGGTATTTTACTGTACATTCTATCATGCATCATTTTCAGGTTTTAATTTTTATGAGCTTCCCAGAGAGTTTGGCTATTGGAAATAGTTTCTATTATAGAAATATAAATCAGCATCTCTGCAAATTGATCTCTGCCCTGTGAGCAGGTAGGTTCTGACTGAAAACCTCTTTCTGAGTGCAATCCTGTGCTTCCCCCAGGGCAGCAGGGGCATGGCAAGAGATGCAAACATTTTTTTCTCTTGCAAAATGCACCTTTCGACCCCTTTAACACTTCAGAATAGACTCCAGCCTTGGTGATCTCCCCACACCACCCCTCAGCCTCTTGCATTCGGTCTTACCTGTGTATTCTGTATCTGAATGGCTCCCTGTGGGATTGCTTGGGTTACCACCTGGCCCTGAGATGTTACCATAGTTACAGGCTGGTAAAGGGCTCCACCTGGCAAAGAGACAGGGTTGCACAGCACAGTTTTAGGAAGACAGCTGAGATCTATTGGCAACAAAAAGAAAAAGAGAAATGTTTCAACTAGCCTGTGGTTTTGAATTGCTCTGAGGGAAGCCTATCCCGGGAAAAAATCTGCATCGTCATGTTTGGCTAAAAGATGCCACATGCATCCTAAAAGCCTTGGGAGGAAGGCCAGTGCATCAGTGGATCTACCACTATGTGTATCATTTAACTTCCGTATATTTCTAGAGAAACATGTAAACAATAGACAGGCCTTCATCCTCCTCCTCCTCCTCCTTCTCCTCTTTTTCTTCAGCTGAAAGATCTTTCTGTCAGAAATGCTCCCAGGGAGGCATTCAAAGGTGTGGGGCAGCTGATGCACACGCTGCGTGGCTGTTGGCTGCAGGTTTAGGAATTACTCATACATGGAAGAATCGAAAGTCACACTGCATGTTCAATCACATTGCTGAGGCTTGTCTCGTCTTTGTTTCTTTTTCTTCATGCACGGCCTCATCAGGAGCACGTGCTCTAGGGGGGAAGGGTTAGGCCTTCTCTGCCTTTGCCCTGAAGCCCTCTGCTCAGGGAGGGTTTGGGGTTAACAAAAGGAAAAGGAAAATACCCCACTGAGGTCTGTGCCATGCTCCTACTGCAAATCGGGGCAGTGCGATCCTAAGAGAATTTTACCGAAACAAGCAGTCGGGTCTCACTGACATGACACGTGCTTAGCATACTGTGCGGATGGGCTTCAGGCATGCTTGTTCAGGGGCACCCAAGGGCACCGATGGAGACACCGTGTGACATGCGGGCTTCTGATGGACCACGTCGAATGGGCTTTGCTTGCTTCAGGCTCTGAGGGCCCTCGGGCAAGGCACCATCAGTGAGTCGACCTGTGTCTCCAAGCACCACTGCTCGTCCTCCTCTCTCTCATCGGGGCCACCACTTACTTAATTGACTGGAGAGCATGTAGCCAGGCGCGTCTCCTGACTCTCCTCCTCACCAACACCATTGATGGGGCCAAAGTGAAGGGCCAGTGAACAAGCAGGCTGCAGTGGGGAATGGGAAGAGCAAGGCCAGGGGGCTCTTTCCGGAATGTCCCAACAGCCCTCTGGAACAAGTCCCAGGTTGGACCTCCAGGGACGGAAAAACTCTGGCCTGGAACGCTGGAGCGCTGCTGCTGCCAGACAGGGTTGACCATGCTGGGATGGATGGCCCATGGTCTAGCTAAGGAGAGGGCAGCTTCGCATGTTTCTCTGTGTGTCCAAATACCTCTGGACAGCACTAGCTTGGCAATGGCTGCCTTAGTGCTGAACATGCAACTCTGAGACTTGAGGAGCAAGCCTTGTTGGTACATATCCTCTCCTCCACAAGTCTTTTGCCCCATAAGTGCACTTGGAAAATATTCTTCAGGGTACCAATGGTCTAGTCAACACAGATCTTTTTGGAAGAGCTTGTTTTTGTACTACTGTTAATTCTATGAAGATGCTTCTTAGTTGATGACAATGTTCCATTTTGGTTCTACGTTACATTTGGATTTACTCTTTATTTTATTTTGTTACTTATTTTTATTATTTGATTTATAGCCCACCCCATTAGCCACACAGCTCCTTGGGTGGGTTACCGACAATAAAAAATGTTGTTTGGCTTTCTTATAGTCTTTCTGGTAAAAAACCAAAACCTTTAAAAGACAGGTTTTAAGGATAAAAACAGGGAGAACAGTTTAAAGATGAAGGCAGATGTCTGTAAGACCCAGTGAGCTGTGATGGTTAGAGTCCTGGATTGGGACCCCAGGGGTCCAGTTTCTATTTCCTCCTCATTCATGAAGCTCAAAGGGTGACTTTGGGCCAGTCACTTACTCTTAGTCTAACCCATCTCACAGGGTTGTTGTGAGGATAAAATGAGTGGAAGAAAATTATGTAAGTCCCTTTGAATTTCTCACCCAAGGGGAAAAAGGTGAGATATACATGTAAAGTAATGTATGTCTCATGTAATACATGAGAGAGCCAGTGTGGCGTAGTGGTTAAGAGCATGGGACTGGGACTCAGACAATCTGGGTTGGAGTCCCTGCTCAGCCATGGAGCCAACTGGGTGTCTTTGGGACAGCCACAGTCCAACCTACCCAACAAGGTCATTGTTGTGGGGATAAGATTGCGAGAACAGCAGGAGACGAACTATGTAAGCTGCTCTGAGTTCTTTGTAAGAAATGAAGGTGGGATATAAATCTAATAAAAATAAATAGATAATGCAACAATAACAACAACATCAATAAATTTAGAGTGTAATCCTATGCACCCTTGTACACACACATGCACACATAACAGTAACCGTCTTGAGATTCTTTTGAATAATTAATGGTAAAAAAATGGTTTAAATAAATAAATAAATAAATACAAGACAGCCCATTGAACTCAATGGGACTGACTTCTGAGTAGATGCATAGGCTTGCACTGCCAGGATGATGGGGGTGTGTGGGTGTGTCCCCAAACATCCACCCAATGCAGTCCAAGGAGGTGGAAGTGTATTCAGACCATGTATTTCCTGTACATTGAACGGGTTCCTTGGTCTTCTCCATGAGCTGGATGGGAACAGCAACGAGCTGCCAGCACTGTTGGATGAGCAAGAGGGACCTTGCATGCCACCAGCGCCACGTTCTGCCACACATGGACGAGGTGGAGAAAGTGTCGGGCAATTCTCTGCTGGAGGGGCGGACAACCTTTTAGGGCCTTTGGGCGCATTTGGCAACTCTAACAAACGTCCTGAGCACCACCTTGAAGGAAGCTGGATGCACAGGGCAGCCGGGCCAGCAGCTGCCCCACCACCGTCATGTCCAGAGCTACCCGGGCGGCACGCAGGAGCAACACAGAGGCCACTGGGGGGAGTGCAGCAGCCTCCTGCACTAATGCCAGCCTGACCAAATTGCCATATGAACTGTGATTTTATCCAGCCATTTGCTTCCTTCATTCTGTGCAGAACTGATCGTGGGGGTCCCATAGGGATGTCAGTCCGCGAAACTTGCCGGCATCCTAAATGAATAGCTATAGGCGACCATGCACAGGGCCATGCTAAAAGACGGGGGTTTTGAGCAGGGACAAAAGGAAAAAAAAAGTTTTACAAGTACACAGAAGTGCTTGTGCGTTGGAATCAGGTGCCTGCCATGCAAAGCAGCCTCGTAAGTGGTGTATCTACCTGAGAAAAGCATCTGTGTGGGTAGTGAAGGGGTGAAGATGGCGTGAGTACAGGGAGAGTGAAGAAACTGCCCCCGCAGCCCTTTTTCACAGGCGCCCGCCTCAATTGTGCACTGTTCAAATCTAGTTATCTAAGGGAGTTATAAATACCAAGCATGCAAAAGACGCAACTAACATGGTCACTGACGTATGCTCCACGCCTCCCACCTGACACAACTTGTGAGTTGACCGTTGTCATGGAGATGTTCCCCTGCTGCAGTGCTGAGGCAGGTACCACGATTCCTTGGGGGTTGCTGGAGACGGCGTTCATTGAGTTAGGAGAATTCTGCAGCATGTCCTAGAGGGAGGGAGGGAAGGAGGGAGAGAGGGATGGAGCAGGAACTCAGTATTTAAGTCTTAAGAACTCAATGTTCATGGTATTTAAGCCCTGAAAGAAGTGCCAGGATTCTGTGGGTGACCAGCCAGAGCCCTCCGGATGCTTGGAGCAGAGTTCCCAGCCCCCTAACCCATTGTTCATTCGAGCTGGGGCTGAGCTGAGTTGCACGCTCAAACATCTGGAAGTTGCCCCATTAGGGATGTCTGGAATGATATCTACTTTCCAGCAGCTGTGCGGTGATCTTTATGATCATGATAAGATAATGCACACATATTTTCCATATGACTTGCCTCGTCTCCTTCTGAAGTTGAGCACAGTTTCTAGAGCAAAGAGATGTGGAAAGGTGACTGGCTTTGGAAAATTATGCATCCCCTACTTAGCACCACCTGACACAATCAGCAAGTGGCCTTAACATCAACATCCCTACTCCATTACAATGGGAAGAGCAGGAAGGGGTTCTGTCAAGGGCATTGCCATGGTCCCAGAAGTTCGCCCAGGTGAACTGTTCCTGGCTCAAGAGGCACCATAGCATGGCAATGGAGCACAGATGCAAGAGCATATACAACGGAAGGGGCCATGATGCAGTGGGAAAGCACATACGTTGTAGGCAGAAGATCCCAGAAGAGCCAATCTTCCACCATTTTTTAAAGGAAGTAAGTTGAAAGATCTCTACTACAAAGAGTCTGAAAAGCTGCTGTCAGTCGGTGCTGATCATCCTTTCACAACCTGGTACCCTTCAAATATTTTGGACTACAACTCCTAGTATTTCTACAACTGGTCATCCTGGCTGAGGCTGATGGGAGTTGAATAAAAAATGTTGGATGAGAACCAGCTTGGAAACAAGAAGACTGGGCTAGTCAATCCAACGATCAAGTAGAAGGATAAGAATATACCCAAATGTAGTGCAGGTTTCATCCCATGCAGTGCCACTTGCCAAACAATTGCAATTCCAGCCACAAAATCATTCCCAAAACAATTTTCCCAACAAAAGTCCTCACACAAAGCTGGGAAACATTTGCTGCACGATCTAGAAGGGCCGCTGGTTTGTCAGAACTGGATTTGATGGACTCTTAAGACTTTTTTTACAGAGGCTTTGGCTCACGGCTTCACAAAAAATTCTCCTTCTAGATTCCTTGGGGAATAAAGATTGACTCCTTAGACATGCTTCTTCCCTACCACCCAGGAGTTTTCTTTCTCTAACTTTCTATATATTCTCTTACAACCACTTGGTGGCACTGTAGGACAGCAGAATTGTGCAAATACATGAGAGTTTCACTCTAAATCATACCAGACTTTCCTCGATCTTAAAAAACCCCAAAACAATACCAACCACTGTGGAAATGGTTGCAAAGCGCAGGAGAGGCCTTGGAGGATAACGGTGCTATGCACATCATCCACAGTTCCTGTTGGTGGCAATTCCTAATAAATACCTTCTGTAGAAAGGTGATTCATCTAATTAGGTATAAGGTGAATACATGTAACTCCTATTGTACTTTGGTTCAGGATTCTCCTTTGGTCCCTGGAAGGTGTTGCTTGTCTACCATTTGGTTCATGGCAGGCTCCTCAATGAACCTGAGTGAATTTAAGCAATCCACTTGAGTGCAGGGCTGCTGGAAGAATCCATTCCTACTGAATGCTAGTCCCTCCTGGACCAACATGGGAATTGGAATGTAACTACTCTTTGGGTTGTGAGCGCTGCAAATTTTGTGAATTTTTGCCACAGGCTCAGGGCTACTGATCAGATAGCTGTGGTCAGCCAGGACTCAATGAGACCATATGGACTTCATCTCACCCAGGACCAAGAAACAGAAAAGTGTATTTTGCAAGCAGCTCCAGGTCTCTACTTAAGAGAAAGTCAGACCATCTGACATTGCTTCAGCTGGCTGAGCTTAGACCAAGTACAGATATAGAAGTATAGATTATCAATTGTCTAGGTGCTTGAACAATAAACATCCTCTAGAGACGATCTCAGAGCTGAAGATGAGTCATTACCTGACAGCCAGCTGACAAAAACAAAGAGATTCATCTGAAATCTCCACTGAGCCAAATGGGTATGCTCTCAGAGTTCTAAGTTCGTATCTTTTTATGGGAGGGACCAGAGGAGATATACTCCACTGGAAAAGGAAGTTGGGGGTTTTCTCTTCTAGCACCAGGACAGATTGCCCCAAGGTTTCTCTGGTATGGGTACCCAGGTGCAGTTTTTCCCCAGACAAAGTGTGCAGACCTGACACAGGCACAAAGGAAATACAAGTTTAATATGGTTCTTCAAGGGACTAGATAGGCAGCTTGCCCAGGGCTTTGCTCTCTAGACTATTTCCCCCTTTTGTCTGTCTTCTGCAGCTCATTTGCCACTTTGAATTGTTGTGTTCTCAGAATCTGCCTAACCTCCCCCCATCCCTTCTGTACTTTTCCTGAATGTCTGCTACATCTTTTACCATTTTCACCAAAACCTAGACAGTGGTCTGAAGAGAAGAAAGTGGGGAGGGTCACAAGGCAAGTGACTCCTTTTTAGGTTACAGTAGCGCTATGCTCAGGTGGGTGAACAAAACCTGCAACCTACCTGTGCTCTCCTAAGTCCATAGGTGGGCTACAAAGAGACTTCACACAAGGGATCTCAGTTGTTCCCAAGGACCGGACTGGACCGAACCACAACACCGGGGAGACTGGGCTTGTTTTACTCTTGGTGCTGGCACCCAGTACCAGCAGGCATCGTACCCAGAGATGCCCAAAGGTGCTAGGATGCCACTGAAAAAGGCTCAAGCTAACAGGGCTTTGAAATGGGGCCTCCCCAGTCCAACCCTCTAACCAGTGCTCAACACTGTCTCTTGAGAGTCCAAGTTTCTCACCCCTGTTAGAACACAAATGGATTTTTATGACTGAGGTGGAAACACTAATTGCAAACCACTAATCTTCATAGGAACACAATCTGTTTGAACGTTGACTATGAAATTAATGGAAGGGGCATTTACCTTTCAAATGTGCATTTCATTAGTACTTGTTTGGGGGAAGCTGCATTGGATTGTACCCCACGGCTCAGATGTCTCTTATTTCCCATTATTTCCCATTCTACTCCTAGATTTATAAACTGACCTGTCTTAGGTGGTCATCTCATCTTGCCTCATGCTCTCGGGGCCAACTCTGCAAAATTGTGTTATTCCTACTTTAAATCATGCAATTCAACTTGTTCCATCAGCAAACTGTTGAAAAACAAATCTCTGGGATGAATGCATTTGGACAAAACCACCTTTGATATGTCCTGAAATAATCAATCTGTTGTCTTTGGTTGCCGGGTCTAACCCATACTTGAAAAACACTTATAGATGGTACTGGTAGACAGCATTCTAATAATGATCACAAAATCAGATGCCACTTGTTTCAGTTAAAGAGGTTCAGCAGTTAAAACAGGACAAGAAAAATTTGCTCAAGAAAAGAAATTCAGCACAGGAGAGGAGCAGAGGAGGAGAGAAGGAGCAGAGCACAGCACAGCAGAGAAGCTGAATTCCATAAATTTGGTTCTTTTTCACACCATTAATTGCTCCTAATTTATCAGGAGGCCATATCTGTATTAGCAACTATGAGCTGCTCAGGTAGGAAGGAATGTGACTGGTCCTAATTATTTAGTAAGGGAAAAAAGATCAAAGTCTTATTGATTTAATACCCTAATACCTCTTGCTTTCCTCCGCTTGTCATGTCCACCAAGGCCACACATATCGGGTGACGTAGGCATATTAGGGCTCTTTTAAGGAAGGGATCAAAGCCCTGGAGCTCCACCCAGAAGTTTTCCCTGTTCTGGGAAACACCCCCCACCCACTAGTTTTAACTAGACATGCCAATGACAGTCTCCATGGTTTAGGCTGAAAACTAACTTGGTGGTAGAGTGGGTTGGGTGGGCAATTTTTTTATAAACTCTTGACATTCTTCATCAGCTTGGACTGAACATCTGGGCTGGAAAAATATTCTTGGCTCCACTTTCCCACTCACATCGGCAGAGCTCTTCCACACCTCCAAAACTTGGTCTGGCCACCCTCATTCCCAGCATATCGCCCTCTTCTTTTACAAAGCCAGTGAGCCACTGACCTCCCATGGCTAGTAGGAACAGCAAAAGGAGGGAAAGCCCTCCCACCTTCCATATCACGATTGTGTTGTTGTGCTGACCCTTCTGGTTCTAAACAAGGTATTGTTAACAAGACAAATTGTTAACTTGTCTTTTACTGGCTGGTACATAAATGTTTATAAATAAATAATCCTCATTGTGAACCACTCAGAGAGCTTTGTCTAAGGGTAGTATATGAATGTTAATAACACTAACACTAAATGAAAATCAACTTTTAAGGGCTATATTAGTGGAAAGGCAGGCTACACTGCAAACACTTGAGAAAGTGAGAGATTGTGTGAGAGAATGAAGGAAGGAAAGAAGGAAGGGAGAAGGAGGAAGGGGGGAGCTGGAACGGAACAGAATGGAAAGGAAAGGAACTCCCCTCCTGGCTTTGAATAACAGAGTCCATGGCGCTCCATGGCCAAGAAAACTTCTGATTCCTAGGATTTCCACTGAGCTCCCACAATATGGCCTGGGTGACTCACCCTTTAGACTTGCTTAGTACGTCGCAGAAGCCATCTGCTGCTCTTGGCTGCTGCTGGCCTTGCAGGCAAGACCTCGCTCTGCTGAGGCACGCTAAATATACAGTGAGAAATTCTCTCCTGCAAGCTGGCGGCACTATTGGCGTACAGCTCGCAATGCTGGGAAAGCCCCAAAGCAAATGATGCAGAAGAGAACCATTCAATTATTAAAGAAGACATTCTTGTCATTGTTTGGGATAAGAGGTCAGCATTCAATTAACACTTTTTCGTTGCTGATTAAATATTTGTCTTATCTGAGTAAATCCATACGGCATGACATTACTTTCTCGACATTGCTGCTTGGCACATAGTAAACAACCTTCCAGCACCCAGAAAAAATGTGA